CTCCTCCGCCCTCGGTTTTTACTCGGCCCGTGGTGTTCATCAAATAGTTCGCTGAATTTTTTCGATACATCAGTGGATGCTATTTTCTTAACATTATGGTGCGAGCATGCGACTGTAACACAGAAAACGCGGTTTAAACTGTCGTCTGAGATCGCGGCGGCCGCCATGATTCAATGTTGTCGATAGACGACAGGGCAAACGACGCACTCGCTCAACGTGAATATCGCGAGTTTGCACAGATGTAAACCCTCTACACAAAAATGAAGAGGGTTGTTTGAAAAAAATGTCGACCGTAAAGTTTTTTTTCGACGTAGAAAATCTCGGTCGGTCGGGTTACAGGAAACGCACTACTTTTTTTTCTCCGCCTTATACATGTCCTCGGCTAGGCCTCAGTTTCAAAATCAGTCCTTGGTCCTTGGCCTTGGCCTCGGAGGCAAGTCCTTGGTCCTTGGCCTTGCCCTCGGAAAATTTCTCAAGTCTTTGGCCTTGGCCTTGCCTCAGAAAATTTCTCAAGTCCTTGGCCTTGGCCTCGGAGGCAAATCCTTGGCCTTGGCCTTGACCTCGGGTTGCCGGTCCTTGGACACAACACTGCAGTACATGCATTTTATGGAGCAGCTTCCGAACAAACGCAAATTGTCCGCCGTGTGCCGTGTAGAGCCATTTTGATCCCCTTTTGGAGAATAAGGTATTAATTAAAATCTCCTTGTCTCACCAAGTGCCTCTCGGATTGTCTCGCCATGTCTTATTCCATTGTGTGTGTGTTCTCCACAGCAGGGGAAATAGCATGCAAGAAACCCAACAGACTGAAATTAAAAACACTGGAGCATCTTATTTTTCTGAAGAAAAATTTGTGAAGACAAAGCCCACAAGCATCCTCATTCACATGATTTTCACATTATTGAAACACATTGAATGATATAATATGAATGCATGGATGTGAATGATATTGTCAAGGGTCAAGGTCATCTTTATTGTCAAATATGCTTTATGTATGACATGCAGCATAGATGAAATTTCTTCCTCTCAATCCTCAGGGCAAATAGGCATGCAAACATGCTGTGCTGTGCATTAAACACACACAGCTAAGAAAGGACAGCAGCTACACTGTATAAAAAAGACATAATTTGTAATCTGAACAGGATAAACAGTATAGACGATATAAACAATATAAACAGCATAAACAACAACATAAACAATGACACTTGTGGCTATTGTGGGTAAAGTGAGGTAGTGCATTGTATACACTTCTTC